TCTAAGTTTTTGGTTGACTGTCTAAGTTTTTGGTTGACTGTCTAAGTTTTTGATTGACTTTCTAAGTTTTTGGTTGCAAAACATAAACTTTTGGTTGAATCTCAAACTTTAGGTTGACGCTTTAAGTTTTTGGTTGACTAAGATTTTGGTTGACTGTCTAAGTTTTTGTATGACTTTCTACGTTTTTGGTTGAACTCAAAAAAGATTTGAACTCAGAAATCACAAACTAGGGTAGTGGCGCAGGGAGAAGAGAAGCCAAGCTTGTGATCGGAAGATAGCTGGTTCAACTCCAGGTGTTGCACGTGTGTTCACATGTGTGATAGGTTAAATGCAGAGACTTAAAAGAGACCTACTATGCTGATGTGCTTTTATGCTTTTACTTAAAAGCATAATAGGTCTCTTTTAAGTCTCTGCATTTAACCTATCACACGTGAACACACATGCAACATGGAGACCATCCTGGAGTTGAACGGGCTACCTAGGCTAAAAGAGACCTATTATGCAAAATTCACTTTTTAAAGGTTTTTTTTTTTTTACTCAGCTTTGGCAAATAGGCTTTAACAAGGCTTTAATAATCCTTCTCGATCCCTAGTCTCTCACTCTCTGGTCCAACACTCTACCCACTGTGCTATAGGAGGCTTACTGTAAAATGAGCTGCACATTACACAACGACACCGTGATGGCTTTTTATACGGAGGAGCAGCTTCACCTGGGGTTTGCTAGGTAAGAGGCTGAACGCAGGTTCTGGTGGGTTGTCGTACAGCTTGTGACATCATAAAATGTATAAAACTTGTCATTAATATACATTAAAATACATTTACTTAGTAAATATGCCCTTGGGTGCATGTTTTTGGTCCTGTGATTTCTGAGTTCAAATCTTTTTTGAGTTCAACCAAAAACTTAGAAAGTCAATCAAAAACTTAGACAGTCAACCAAAAACGTAGAAAGTCAACCAAAAACTTAGAAAGTCAACCAAAAACTTAAAACATCAACCAAAAGTTTGTGATTCAACCAAAAGTTTATGT